TGGACATTAGCAGGTCAGCGATACTCAGGTTCAGCAGGAAATAATTTGTGACCGTGCGCATGCTGCGATGTCCTGCAAACAAAACGAAAAGTGGCCAAAATGTGAGACGTGACAACAAAGAGAAATCCACCGGATATTAGCAGCAACCTATCCTTGAAAACAACGCCAGCAATCGATGCAGCCAAGCGACCAAACAATATTGCGACCGCGTGGCGTATGCGCGATTTAAGTCGAAAATACGCTTTAAAGTGGCGCTTAAGTTCTTCTTCCATTTTCAGCCATAAAACAATCTAAAGCCTGTTTAACTATCAAGTGCTTACCTGTAACAATCCAGAGAACAATTCCATTGCCCGCAATGGCCACGAACATCATCAGCCCAAATACAATGGCCCAAATCGTTTTCTGTTCCCACGGCAACTCATAAGGACGCGTGGGTGATGGAAACAAACATTCAGTGAGGAAGTCCCTGTGGGGAGAGAGAGAGCGGAAGAGTTAGAGACAGAGAGAGAAACTGAGTTTAATATATATACATGCATATGCATATCCATAGACATAAACAAATGCAAATCTTTCAATATGCACAGCAATTGCAAACACGAGCTAGCACAAATCCTTTGAGCATGGCTGCGCATACATGTGTCTATGCATGGGTTCAACAAAATATAAATGAATTTACGCAACAGTAGGTTCAATAAAACTGCATACCAAACACACATGTGCATATGTTGAATACGAGTCAAACACGAGTATTCAAAGGATTTCTGTGTAAACCAGCATTTCTGTTGTTTTCTGTGGTGTGACCTGCACTCAGCAGGACCACATCGCTTGGTCAGTTTTTAAATCGTTATTAGGAAGTTCAAAATGCATTAAACTTAGACAAATTCAACTTTTAGCTGTCCGGCTCAAGGCCAAATGATGGTCATAACGACCAACAACAACAACACCAAAAGCGAGCAGGTTGTCTATATAACTACTTCAGAAACCTTCCGGTTCTATTATCACCAGGCTACCAACTTTAAATATGTATCATCAGTCTGAAATTATAACCACTTAAGGCTCGTATGCAACGAAGAGAACAAAGCTAGCAAAATCATGCACAAAGTAATCATATACACATCTGAATTTCAAAACGCTTTTTGATTTAATTTAAAAAAAAAGTTTATATTACATATAAATATTTACGCGATGCGGAGGCTCTTTCAGCCATAAAGCAGTAATGCTATAAAGCTTGGATTAATTTGATTTTTCCTATGGCATAAGTAGTCTAATATATTTATACGATATTTTACTGAGGACCATAAAAATGTTTGTTCTATTTACAATTGAATAAAGAATCCGATTATAGTTCTAGCTAAGCGAAGAATCAATTTGATTTCGCCGATTCAAACAGGTGTAAAACCTGCAGAATTCAGAATTTTTGTCAAGTTGCATCAAGAGATAACGAAATACTTATATATACATGTTCCGCAAGAAACTTCAGAGAAGCTTTTATTCACATAAGGGGATAAATTAAGCTTAATAAAAAAAACAAAAACTAAGCTCAAGTACAATATATATACAAACATATATATATAAATCAACTGTGAAAATTAATTTGATTTTTGAGTGCACAAGCTCCGGTTTGATTTATTTGGCCTTTAACTTTTCACCTTTTCAACTTGGACAATAGAAAATCAATGAAGCTCATGATGAGAGCAAATTGAATAAAGGAAACTGCCGATGATGATGAAGGGGAATCGCAGTAGCGCAGAAAATCAAATCTGTAGTTTTAAGTGATTTCATTTGAGCTGCATCCGTTCGCCAGTGGAAATGAGCAACAGTCCTTGGTAAACGACGTCGACGTAAACACAGAATCTCACTTAAGCTCCACTCGAGGCTGCACTGGTTTCACACTGATAAGCATATATGTTCGTGTCTTAAGGTAATTAGTGGGCGCTTGAAGTCAAGCTAAAATGCTCTTCAACTGGCTGGTTGACTGGCCTTCTGATTAGTGGCCAATGGTAAGTCTAGCTCATTAATTAGGCAACCGCCGCATTGTGCTACACACCACAGCTTTACAAACCGCTGCTTGTCAGAGTGCAACGTGCAATCAATTCTGCGTTATATCTTATCATCTCAGTTGGCCTGGGATTAATTTTCCTGACTATGCAGCCAACATTATTCGAAGCAGTTCAGAGCAATTGCCAAGAATACAGGTCAGTAACTTAAACTCTTGAATAACGTGTGTGGGTTAAAGGAGAAGTAAATAAGGCGGGAAAGATTTTTCTTCTCTTTTAGATCATCTATTCCGTCCAGACCTACCAAGAATTATCACATCTTACGCTATGCAAAACTATTTCGTGTCACAAGATCACTATAAATTATTCTATAAATATTATTTTGCATCTCCATCTGTCTCATTTTTTTGTAATTTATTATCTATTATTCATAAATATAGTTAGCAAATATTATTCTTAATTATTTTTACTAAGAATACTTTTTTCTCTACGAACACCTTTCTTCCTAAATACTCAGGTTGACACTCGTATAAAACTAAATTAAGTATAAATATTGTTAATCAGAAGGACACGCTAGAATAGGAAAGGACCACAAAGAATAGAGACTTTAAATTTAAAAATATATATTCTCGCATACCATTTTCATATAATCGAAAAATTTCGATTGTAAGGCATGAATTTTCTTAGATATACCTCGAATATTATAATAATAGTTGCACTAAACCTGGTATATGGTTTCTCGTGCAGTATACTTTGCTAAAATATACCGAAGCTGTATACTAAAGACTACATTTCTGATAGTACAGAAAGTTATTTTCTGATTTACCAAATGTAAAAGATACTTATTATCAAACGTGCTCACTTACAAGCCCCTATCCCCTAGCCCCTACCTATCAATCTATATATATATACATACTTATATATATATATATATATATATTTGCTTTGCGTTCATCCATCAACTGAACCCACACATATTACTATACTTATAAAATGTTCGCTGTTTTGGTATTGTGTGGTTAAAGGTCATCATAATTAATTTTGAATCTTATTTTCTAATTGGGCTTCCCACATTAAGCATAACTAAATGAGAAATTTAAATAGGGATTTACCATTACCTTCAAGCTAATTAAATGCTCTTTTTTTTAAATAAATGCCTATGCGTGTTTTTGTGCTGTTTGCTTTTGAAACTATTTCAGCTATTTAAGTATTAGCTAATGATTCATTTTAAATCCTATTTTTCCTATTTACATGTAACCTTTGATAAAAAAAATCCTTTCAAATTAGCAGAGCTTGCTATTATTTTTTACTGCATTTTCCCTGTGATGCTAATCCTTTCGTCAGATTTGAAGGCTAAAATGTAAAATGGAAAGTTCAAAAATAAGTTTGGCTGCAATTACACGATTGGCTGCAATTACATGGATTGGAAAAACTCATGCCATGGGGCTTAAGAAGTTCTTCCGAGAAATTATCTTTGCGCCCTTTAAAAGCAATGAAAGGCATACAGCTCTGAATGGAAATTGAGAAAGTCGAGAATTGATAAATTGACGGTTCTTCCCTCTTGCGATAATATAGACACCTGCACGCTTAAAATCTAAAATGTTTTACTTAAGTTGTGTAACTTTAAAGGGTGGTAAAAGCAAATATTTGTTAAATAACGTGAGCTCAACCGGCAGCCAGGTTAAAAACTGAATTCTTAAAAAATCGAATTCTTGAAAAAAAAAAATACATAGTCCAATTCATCGAACCTGCACAATGCGAATGTCGAGAAAATGTGTGTGCACAGCAACAGCTTTCATTTTCTTCAAAAGAATATCAAAACTTTCATGAAAATACAACAAATGAAAGCGATTACATTTCCATCGAAATGCTTGAGACTTCCTGTCGTAATATCTGCTTCTTTTAACTTATTCAATGGTGTTTGAAAACGGCATATAAATTTCTTACTTAATTATATGTTTACCAGTCCGCACATACTCGTAATTCACTCAATTAGTTGGGGCAAACACAATATCGATTTGATTATCGCACAGGATGTGTGTGTTCAAGTGCTGTTCACGTTCCTTGGCTTATTTGTAATAATAACAGAGAATTAACGTATCTGCGATGCGTCTACAACTATGACGAGGATAAAACAAACTAGTATGGCAACTATAGTGTGGTCCAAACAAACTGTTTATCTGCTTCTTTGTTTTTTTCAACAATGCCTCAGGGGCAATTAAAGAGTCAAAATAAATGACACGAAATTTGCATTGATGCACACGCGAATTAACATTCGTCGCAATTCTATGGAATTGTGTAAATTTTCTGAGAATGCACTTAATATCATGTTTCAATATTAATAAAAAGTACGCCTGCGAAATTGCGCATAATGGATATATTAGTGCACTGTAAATTGAAAATGTATCTGACTTTAATTTGCATAATTGCATGCTGCGGCTGCTGCCAAGCAACAGCAAATTTCACCCAAGCACCAATACTTAACTAAGCTTAGCTGTCAATGCAATAATGCTCTCAAAGGGATAAGGGATAAGGAAACGGAAAAGCTTTGTTATTGTCTGTTCACGAGTGGCATGCAATTTGTGTTGCCTACTTTTGCGCAGCAAAATGTATAGCGACACACCAATTAGAGTTGGCCGCGTATTGTATATCAAAATATCGTTTACCGCGGGAGCTCGTGCCTGCCAAGCAAAGCCTCCGTACATAAAACGACACGATAAATACTTGGTATTACCCTGCGTTTCCCTGCTTTGACTTTCTATAGCTAACTATCGGGTTGTATCAGGCTCTGCCCGAGATAATTTTAATTTTTTTAAATTTTCCACATCCCTATTCTACTTATTATGGGGGCAACATTCAACCCCCATTTTCTAATCGAGAAGAATACAGACGTCTTTAATGGGATGGAAAATAAGGTTAAGACAGTAAAAAATTTCAGCTCCTACGATTTGGACTGTATTTGAACAGCAATCACTTAGTCGGTCAGGATGAATTGTTTTACAGAAGCAAATTAAGTAGATTTTCCTTGCCAGTACGTGCCTTAGGGGTCGGACTTTCCACACGATGCATCAAGGGGTGAGAAATACTAGATGGTTTTAAAAATTGTATTATAAAAATATCAACGTTTGATAAAATTGTTTTAAATTCAGTAAATTTCGATATTCGGTTCGTGTATCTGTCGTGCCGAGTTACACGAAAGCCATACAACCTTCACTCACCATTTTGATTCGCGTGTAATTATGGTAATTGCTGTTTGTTTTGACTGTCGGAAAGAAATAATAAACAAAAAAAGAAATAAAAGACACAAATTTCGAACAAAAACTCATGTCTAGGTTTGAGTGCTGCTTACAACCAGACGGGCGAAGTAATCCTCTTTGTCGCTATCCTGACAGGATTTAAATAAATTTCAGCTTTATTTGAAGTAAAATTAATTAATTAATTTCACGATAGCAAAATAATTGCTGACATAATAAATATAGCCTACTGTGGCCAGGGCAAACACCTTTTCGTTTGCACAACACTTTTTTTCTATTTTATTTTTTTTATTTTATGTATGCTTCCTTTTATTTGTTGTTTGCAAGAAAAATATCTGTGGAAAAACTATTGTGGAGCAGATTTGGCAAGCGCATCGAATGCATTTCATATATTAGAAAGTTCCAAGTGTATATCTGCACTGATTACGGAGCAATTGCATTTGTAAGCAAAAAAAATGAAAGGGTTGTTTGCCAGCAACAGACTTGAATAATTTAAAAAAGTTAGATGATATGACACAGACCTTTAAATGTTGAATATATACATTTATATATATATATATATATATATATATATATATATATATATATATATATATATATATTCTATATATATATGGACGGCTTCTAACAATATTCCCTCATATTTTTCGACTTTAGACTGACAATTAAATGGGATGGAACTTGTTTATTAAAAAAAAAATTCCCAAAAAAGCAATTAAAATATTTGACACAGAGAATTCTAACGGTTATCATAACTCCTCTAAAAATAAAACAGTTTTCTTTCATTATTTTTTTGAAGCAGGCATGTGTGCAGGTATAGTGTTCGAATTTTTAATTTTTTGTTTATAATTCTTATCAACAATCAATTGGAATAAACAAATTTGTTTTCTCACTTAGAAGGGAAGTTGGACTGTCACGTGGCTGATGAAACGATTGACTAATATTTACACTTCGTTTGTTGCACAGTGCACATTTTATTGAATGTTTCTGCGAACAGCCCGTGTCTATTTGACTAAAATGTGACGTCCATGCAAGCGCGTGCCATAAGCTGGGTATGGCTGATTTAAACTTCACTTGTATCAGAATAATATTTTATGTGTTTCTTCAAATTCTAGTTAAACTCGATTACGCATGTAGCAGAAAAAAGAACTAAATATAAATGCAGCTGAAAAATGTCGTAACTGTGTACTTGCTTGGTCAATTTCGTATGTAAATTGAAATACATTAAAAGCTCTGCCCATTAAAATGTCATACACGCCATGTTATATCATAAAGCAATTTAGTTATCAAAGCACTGAGAACTCTCAATTGTTCTGTAAATCGATAGCAGTAGTAATCTTGCAAATAAGCACCATCAAAATAGAGCTATTAGCTCTCAGTTAAAATAATCTTGCCTACATTTGAGCGCTTGAAGTAAATTGCGGCCTTAAGGAAATTAACATCAATCATAGTTCACCCCATGGCAATTTGCCACACATTTATATGATGTTTAAATATATATTATACACACGTTTATAGTGAAGGTAGGCACGAGGGCTACCGACAACAAATTACCTCCATTAAATGGCACGAATTATTCAATTAAATAGTTGCTCTGCAGCGGCAAAACTGACGCGCGCGACAACCTTCATAATTATGGTAGCCTATAGTTGTCGGTCCGCAAGAGTATGTTGGCAATTTTGAAATATGTATATGTCATATATGTGTATTTACGAGTTCAGACAAAAATTATTGTTGGCTATTTGCTGGCGCATTTTGTATGCACATCAGTTGCAGTTGGCTGACTTTTGGGGCTGCTGACATTTAGTATTATCGGGTGCATATTTCACGAGTGCCGAACAGTCAACGAAGCAGCCCAAATTGAGGGGTTTGTGGCTCGCTGCCTTTGTTCGAGTCACTGTAGCTGTAACAGTTACGCTCGCAGATACTATGGTCGCGACCGCAGCTGCATTTTCCAGCCAAGGTGAGCTGCAGAGGTGCAAGCAAAAAGTTGCAAATAGCAACTGGAAAAGTTGTGGCTGTTGCTAGGTAAGGGCGAGAGCTTATGATGCGCAGAGTCACGTTCTTGAAAAGTTTATTAGCCGGCGTGAATTTTAAGCATAATACCAAGTTTTTGAGCCACAATCTAGAATCAGTTCAAATTTTCGAATAATTGGATAATATATATCCATTTACCTTTCGGTACGAACTATATAAGAGTATCTAAAAGTCGAAAAGTACAAAAGTTTCACTTTTGATGTGCGCTTCGGTTTAAATTGATGTCAAAGTAATTGCCCAGCTTATTGACAAAATTCAAAAACAAACCAATAAATTTTAGAAATCCATTTCACTGAAATCCTTCTAATGGTATCGCAATCCGCCGCCCCCAACCGCCCTTCACCCCTTGAAAAATGGCCAAGGACGAGCTCTGTTGTGAAAATCATGACCACTCAGTCGAATCATCAGGCTCATTATTATCGACAGCCGAACCCAGAAACTATGACCATTTACATACATGCGTATATACTATATAAGTATATGCTGGGTCCACAGACACAAATTTCAGGGCACGTACGCAGTCAAACCCGCTCCCGCTACCCCCTTGATGTAATGCAAATCCGTCCAGTTCAATTTGGATTTATGGGTCGAGATTGTGGTATAGTTCATTGTTTTGGCATCTCCCATTATCAGGCCGCATTTAGGGAAAGCTATCGGAAGTGTCGAGCAGCAAATGAACAATGCCTGGAAAACGACCGAAATCTGAATTTTGTTCCCACTAAGTGCATACTAATGTGTAGACGGGGAATTTTCGCAATTTAATTAAAATTATAAAGGGGCATCGGTACTTAGCTGCCAAACATTAAGTGAATTTATTAAAAGCTGTAGTTACTACGGACTTTAGCAGAGACATCGCAGCATTTATGCATATAATAGACAGCGGTGCGTGCCCAGACCCTAGTTAAGTCTGTTTAATGAGTGGATCCTTTAATGTGAAAATAGCATAAATTATAATCTACTTTTCTCATTATACATAAATATGAATAAAGGTTTCAGCTTTACTCCAAATAAGTTAAAGAAAATGTATTTAAAATCTGAAATAAACTAAACGAATTTTAAATTTTACAATATTGTTTTACAAGTATCTTACTGTATTTATTGTATAGGGAACGAGTCTGATTCGATTAAAGAAAAAATATCTTAGATAGGGGGTATACCCCATATGGACGAACATATTCAGTGATAACAACCTACCATGTTGCAAGCCGCAAAATGTATTTGTCCACCTATTCGCCCCTTTTGACACATGTGACTGCTGCAATAGTTGCGCCCGCTCAACAGGGGGCCATAAAACAGAAAACATTTTTCAGTCAATGTGAAACGCAAAAGAAAAACTTAATTGAAAAATTTGTCATATGCAAATTTTGGCAAGGGCCAAGCGGTGCCTTGACCCACTTCAAGCAAGAAAGTGGGCGGCATAATTGCGAGTATTTTTCAAGTCGCATTCATCGTAGCCATTTTGGCATTTTTTGTAAGCTTAACATTTGCCTGAGAGCACACGCACACACGTACATTTGGCCAGAACGCTTTGTTATGTTGTCCAGAACGCTTTGTTATGTTGTCCAGGACTAAGCCAAACAGTTTCGTTTCGTTTGGCTTTTGCTGCGAGTGTGTTCTGCTTGAAGTACTTTAAATTATTTTTATGCGCACACATAAATTGTGATTGGATTTGAAACCCGGCCATAAAAACACCAAAGCCGCCCAATGGCTAAAATGGAATGTGTGTGTGTGTGTGTGCGTGCCATCTCGTTCTTGTCATTCGAGTCGCATCAAAATCAATAAGCGTATCGAAAGTCATAAGCATAAAAATGCCAAAAGAAAATGTTTTTGCCAGCTTTAAACCCAAGAACCTTGTAGAATGTGCACTTACCGCCTGGCCTGGTCCGGCCTTCCCCCTGATGCATAGATACGTATACGCACCGTGGTCGGCACTAAAGCGAGACGCCGCTCATAAAGTTACTTCAGACAGACTTACACATACGTATACACATAAAAGGCATTTGCGTTGATTGCGACTAAGCCGCATGCCAGAGGCCTCATAATGAGCTTAACTCGGACAACCGGTCAAGGCGTGCGGGGCGGGACTGGTGTCACGCAGACGCATTCACACATCTCACCTGGTGCAGAGCAAAGCTGACTAGTTCGCATAAAGAACGCAAGTTTACTTTGAACACAGCCAAGCTGCAAAGCTGGCCAAAATAAATCCCAAAGATGTGTTTATTTTGCTTAGGCGGGTTGGGGACTAGCTGCGCATATTTCGATGAAAGTTTTCCGCTGGACATTTGCTAGTTGTTGTCGTTTTTTTGTTGTTGTTAACTGGACTGTTTGTCAAAGTTCTGCTGGGGATTTGTCGCATAGAATTTTGCTCTGAATTTAATTATTTGTTGTTGCTCGCTTCTATCCAGCTGAACATAGTCATGTGAGATCTAAAAAGCAATTTGCGAATTTCCGAATTTCGAAAAGCCGCGGCTTTTATTTACTCCCAGTTGCGTGCCCCGTTGTTGGACACTCCCCAATTGTGTTGTACACTAAATAATTTGGTAACAAGTAAGAGGTTCTAGTCGGGAGCTCCCGACTAGGGGATACCCTGAACCCTCTTATTTCAACTTTAGTAATATATGCTTAAGTAATATAAATATATTTAAAAAAAAAAATTCCCCCGGCAGGGTTCTTGCTGCCGCCTCTACTCAACAGCCACACCAATAATTCAGTCTTAATGAGAAAAAATCTGAATAAATTAAAAGCACAAAAAACAATACAATCGCAATTAAAATGCTGTTGATGGAATTTAAAGAAGACGCGTATGAATGTGTGTGTACATGTATACAGAAATTCTTGCAATTTGCGCTTGCTGTCGCTGATACGAGGAAAGCCAAAACATGTTTTCTTTTGTGCTATTGAATATTATTGTATTCTCAAAATGACAATTTCGTTTAAATTGTGGCTTATATTACAGTACAAATTGGTTTATTTATTTGAATCATATCTATGAGGTAGGAGCGGGAAGGTGGTGATAAAATAAAATGAAAGATACTTGCATTATATTTTTTCTCGATCTGCCCGAGTAATAGGAAGACCTACAGTTTATGTTTCAAGTCTCTAGATGTTATAGATTCTGAGATCCTTGCGTTC